AGAAGCTTTCTTGAGAAGGCAATTTCCGACTCAGAACTAGGAACCCGATCACCGAGAGCGCATGTGACATACGATCACGAACAACAAGATCCTGATCCCAAGTTTTTTAAAGGCATTATGACCAACAGCCTTGCCCCTGCACAAATATCCGCTCTATGCGAGGACTTCTTACAACTTTTTCAGTGCAAATCCAGGCGACATAAGCAAAAAGTTCCTTGTCTGATTGGGCCGTCGAACAGTGGGAAGACTTCTTTATTCATGGCGACGAACAAAATTATCGACCCGTCAAAAGTAGCCAGGGTAACAAAACAAAGAGAATTTAACAAAGCAATGATTAAYGAGGACACCGAGCTCATCAATCTGGATGAGGCACGAGTTGAATTAATGGATGTGGATGACTGGAAGATCATCACACAARGTTGGTTAAATTATCACCTAKGAGATGAGTGAAGTGAATATTATTCATTGTTTTATTCATTATTATTCATTGGCTTTGATTATTGATCTCAGGTGGCTGGACAGCTTTAGATCGCAAGTGGAAAACCGCCAAAGGGTTTGTTAACAAAGCGCCAATATTCATCACTTGCCAGGAAGAACTACACTTTGGAAGCGAAGAGGACAATGCTGCTATGGAGAATCGACTAAACAAGTACTTCTTTAAGACGCTGCCAGATGTGGACAAGAATGCAGCAAAATRGATAAAGAACCATCCTATGGARTGCATTGTCTGGAGCGCAATGAAAAGCCAACAACCAGCCCCAGAAACATACTTGGAAGTCGAAGTGGAATCAGGTTTGACAAGAGAGGATARGATGGCCATCATGACCTTAGACCTTAGTGGCGAAARCGSCGCATGCACAAGCACAACAGATGAGACCAGCAACACCTTGGTCCCAGAAAGTCGACAGAGCAGTGCCGAGGAAGACGATGACGAGATCCTGTCATCCCTCCAGMAATCCCACAAGGAATGTGCACACAACACCGGTCGCCGAAAGATGATARCGTATCTTATAAAGCAAAGAAAAAGACGCATCGCAGCAGACAGAGAGAACCATGTGGAGGCTCAAAGACGACATCGCGAGCAAAGAAAAAKCAGTCTAAGAAATATTGGTGTAGATGAAGAGCTCCTTAGCCTCCTACCTGTTGACGATGAGGATCCAGTTCCAACAGCGCTCGACGAAGAGATTCAAAGAAAACGACAAGAACAAAAGAACAGAGAAAGTGAAAACGAGGAAAGACGGATAAAAGAACTGTTTGAAAGCGCGTGGCTTCGTAGGAAAGAGAAGGAGATGGCGAGCCTGCTCATCGACATCGAACATTGTGCCGTGGGAAGCGTAAAGAAAGCAAAACTGTACCTTCTTTCTACTTGCACCGATGCACTTAAAGCCTTCCATTGCAAAAAGAAGACTCCAACGCATACAGGTGTGATCCTGCGAAGAAAAATGTGCATCGATATGGGACTATTGAAGGAAGCAGACGCACATCTAGTGACATCATTGAGTGAGCCCTTGCCGTTGTTCCAGGAGGACTCGACGGACAGTGAAGACATGATGTTCTACACTCCTAAGACTCCGTCATACAGCCCAGAATACGAGTGCGACCCCACATCTTGTGCTTCGCCGTACCGAATCCCAGAAACACCAGAAGATCAAACCACCTCTTCTCAAAGCAGGAAAACGAAAAAGAGGAAATCGAAAGTCGCACACCACGACCCTGGACAAAAAAAGTTGACTATGTATTTTCCTAAGTAATTCTTGTAGTCTAACATTATCGTTGTATCAACAATATTATTARTAACTATATAACTATTATTTACTTGTATCAAGGAAAATAAGACAAATAGTGGTCTTTTCCTTATTTTTCGTTATATATGAATATATGATATGGCTAATTATGCCTTGTTCATCAGTAAGTTGATAATTTGAAATTTTCTACGTTTGAAACCTTGATTCTTACATCAAAACGTTGTATTATTTAACTTAATAGAGATTATTAGAGAT